ATAATAATAATAATAAAAATAATAATAATAATAATAATAATAATAATAATAATAATAATAATAATAATAATAATAATAATAATAATAATAATAATAATAATAATAATAATAATAATAATAATAATAATAATAATAATAATAATAATAATAAAGGATAATAAAGGATAATAAGGATAATAAGGATAATAAGGATAATAAGGAGAAGAAGGAGAAGAAGGAGAAGAAGGAGAAGAAGGAGAAGAAGGAGAAGAAGAAGAAATAAGGGTGAGTGGTGGGGCAGGGTCTGGAAGTTCGAAAGTTGAAAGGGGGGGAGGAGGAGGAGATGAAGAAGAAGAAAGAAGAAGAAGAAGAAGCAGCAACAACAACAACAACAACCCAGTTAAATCCCACAAGAGTAGGCTCTCGGGAGGGTGTGTACGCAACCCAGTTAAATCCCACAAGAGTAGGCTCTCGGGAGGGTGTGTACGCAGACCTTGCCCCTACTCGAAAGTAGAGAGGCTGTTTCCAAAGAGACCCCCGGCTCAACGTCGAAAGTTGCATTGTTTGACTAACTGCTACTTCATTAATTAAAGAAGCGCAGCTAGTTTAGAGATCCATTTTGATTTATTCCGTCGAAAGAAGAAGAAGAAGAAGAAAAATAAAAAAAGAAGAGGAGGAGGATGTACGAAGAAGATGGGATGGTGGTGCTGGAATGAATGATGATGATGATGATGATTGGTGATGATGATGGATGATGGTGGTGGTGGTACACTTAACGGAGAAAGGAGGGATGGTTGGAGAATGGATGGAAAATCACCTCTTGGTATATTTTTTTATAATTTGGGGTACCTGAGAGTATATTTTAAAAATTAGAGGTACCTGACACTTCTTACCACATAATAGAGGGTACCTGGCAGCAATTTTTTGCTTTTAAGAAAGTTGAGATTAATCTTCCTCTCTTAGAAGCTATTAAGCAAGTCCCTAAATACGCTAAGTTCCTCAAGGAGCTTTGCACCAACAAGAATAGGCTTACGGGGAATGAACGGGTAAGAATGGGCGAGAATGTCTCTGCAGTTTTTCAAAAGAAGATTCCTCCAAAATGTAAGGATCCTGGCGTTTTTACCATTCCTTGTCTTATTGGTGATTTGCACTTTGATAGAGCCATGTTTGATTTAGCGTCTTCTATTAATGTAATGCCCAAAGACATTTTTGATAAGCTTAATATTGGGGAATTGAAACCGACAAGGGTAGTGATTCAATTACCCGATATGAGTTATACTTATCCCGAGGGTCTTCTTGAGGATATCTTGGTGAAAGTCAATGACTTAGTTTTTCCCGCTGATTTTTATGTGTTGAGCATGGGTTCTGATACCTCTGACATACCCATTCTTCTTGGTAGACCTTTCATGAAAACTGCTAGAGCTAAGATTGATGTGTATGATGGGGTTTTGTCGCTGGAATTTGATGGTGAAAAGATTGAATTAACTTGTCCTCTGCGATGAAAAGTCCCATTGAAAACAATCAACTTTGTTCTATGGA